ACAAGAAAGAGTTTGAGGTAACTATTCAATCAAATGGTGTTGATCATTTTTTTTTAATAAATAAATAAAATATATTTTTTTATAAAATTATGTTCAATTATATATATGATAATTCTGTTAAAATATCTGCACTAGTTAGTTGAGGTGGACTTATATTTAGAGCCTTCAGAATTTGATATGAATGTCAATCTACATCAAATGGTATTCTAATTATGATATATAATTTTGAATGGTACCATCTGATACAAGACAATACGTATCAGTCCGATGATGTATCGGTATATTGACCCACTTGTTACTGGACGAATTGTGCTACAGTGCTATAGTGGTACATTGTAGTAGTGTTATAGTGCTATAGTAAAATGAAATAGCTCGATAAACCCTAGTGTATCGTTCGGTACGTTAATATCATATCATACTGAGTCAATCTCGAAACATCAATACAATATTGTATACTTTCGTTCTAACTATTAAGTTAGATCTGAAAGTGAGAGTAATAAGGTTTGACCTCGTGTTGATCTTTTCTAATCAATTTTTGGTACCTTCTAGCATGAGAAATAATTTATAGAGTATGATGAATATATTTTTAAATATTTTATATTTAACAAATAATACTATTTAAAAACTCCATCATAAAATCATATCCAATATGATGAAAAAAATTAAAATAATATTTTTTTATTGATTAAGATGAATGTGTCGAATTTTGATTGAACATGAATGATTTTACTTTCACTATTTAAAAAATAAAATCATGTCCAATATTATAAAAAAAACTCGTAATCAGAAATGCAATCAATATGTAGTAGTGATTAGGGATAAAAACAGAGTCAAAAAGACCAAAATAGAAGACTCAGTTCCTCAAAACTTTTTTGTTTTTTTTTCTTTTTCGTACCGTAAGCTAATAAAAAATTAGCTGTCAGAAATGTTGTTCTTTAAAGAAAACATCCTCCTTGAAGGGAGGTTTAAATGTGCTGCTACCATCTTCTTCGACTGCTCAACGAGGAAACACGTAGCAACATTGAACATAATATATTTGATATATCTTAACACTTCCCCTTTATTTTATTGGCTCCATGTCAACAAGGCATTTATATTATTCTAAATTATATATATTTATATATTTATATATAGGAATGACTAAAACTACATATCCATTAATTTTACCTACTAAATCTATTTTAGATTTATTCAAATTTAATTAAAAAACATGTTCAAACAACTTAAGTGAGTCGCATAGGTTTAATTATTTGATAAATCAGATATTATTGTTTAGAAGGAACTGATTAACTATATACAAATATTTGAACTTGTTTTAACATTGATTTGATTGTCTTTTCTTTTTGTTCATGTTCATCTTAGGCTTATTTTTATGATGCTTATACTGGTCCTTTGTTTATGACCAATATAATGTTTTATAATAGATGTGAAATCTAATACTGAGTTGTAAACACATCAGCAAGTGAGATGAGCAAAATATTAATTATTTTAAAAGATAATGAGGGGTAGTTGGTGTAATTATCATAAAACATAATAACAAATGGAATATAAATATTTTTTCTACTGATTATCTCAATATCATGATTTATGTATTTGTAAAAAAAATAACTAGTGTTCCTTTATCTGCTTTTTTTTAATATTTGTAAATAAATTTAACCTATAAATCAAGATAGGAGGTTCTCTTAGAAAAAACTCTTCTCTTTTTTTTTTTCTTCTAATTATGTGTTGCAAATCTTACTCTTATCAAAGAGAAACAAGAAAACAAGTAATCAAAATAGAAATCCAATTATATATTACTCTTTGTAATTAATTATCTTTGGTATTTTGATGTCTATACTTTCAAAAGTTATATTGAGATTCATATACTTACGAAAGTGAAACATTTAACCCATTACTCCAATAATTTTTTTAATCTTGTATAAGAATTTTAATATTATACTTTCGTAAGTATATGGATCCCAATATAATTTTAGAAAGTATAATAATTAAAATACTAAATATAACTAATTATAAAAGATAATATGTAATTAATCCACATGTATACGTATAAATAAGATGTGATTCTTACATAATTTTGCTATTAGATATTATATAGAAATGATCAATACATCCAATATAAAATTTATCACAGCAAAAAAAATCTTACTTCTTTATTTTTTTTATTTTGCAAAGATTTGCGAGGATTTTCTCTGATTTAAAGACAAACACCACCCACTGCACTCAGTGATATCCAAAGATTGAGATGGATCCAAGCAAATTGAATCTCATAATATCATCAATTTTATGGAATTGATAAGATTCGAGAGGACAATAAATCTATTTAAAATTTGAGTCGATAAGATCATCCACCTCACCTCAAATTAAAACGAAAAGAAATCAATATGCAATGATATAATTAGTCCAATAAATCATTCTTTAGATCCTATCTATCTCAATGTTAACCTATTCCAGAAAGCAGTTTTTAATGAAAGGGACAAATTAGACTGTCCTTTTTTATTATTGGGCCAGTGAAGATAAATCTTACAAGGATTGGATGATGCCCAAAATGTCACTTCCTGAAGAACACGATCGGAAAGGCACTCCGAACGCCGTGGACGCCACCGATACAGTGGTTGGTGGCGTGGTCCAAACTTCTTTGTGGGGAGCTCGAAGTGACAGAGAGAGTCGGATAAAGCGACGCGGGTTCATCGCCTATCACCGATGAGACAAACCAAAGGCTGCCTTTTGTCTGGTCCCTATCCACCGGTTGCAGCCGCACAAGCTACTCCACACTCTGCAAACCCAACGAAAGAAGACTGACGCTGCGCTGTCTTATGGCACAGAATGATAGAATTCACATCTTTCCAACGATCATTATTCATTGCTTTGCATCCCATCAATCTCTAAGTTTTCTCTAATCGATCTCACAGTTACGTCCACTATGCACTAACCATCATAATGTAATTCCAGCTTCGTGGGAAGTTAGCTCACTTTTTTTTTATTTTTATGTAAGTATAAAAAAATATAATATATTAATATAATATTTAAAAAATTAAATTTAAGATTAAAATTAATTAATAATAAATCAGATTTATAATATATATCTTTAAATGTCATCTAGAAAAATCTTTATCTGATCAATAGAGACATCATTTTTTATCGAAAAATTATAATGATATCGATCTACAATAAGAACTAGACTCGTCTATTACTTTCTTTTTATCTTTCGTATATTATTATGATCGATGAATTAAGTATGATAAAAGATGAGAGAAGAACTATAATCAAAATAAGAAAATATATGTAATCACTCAATAATATCTATCATAAATTTATATTTTTATATCTCGTATTTATTCTTAAAAATTATTATTTATTTATGAGTATAAATAAAAGATCTAAAATAAATAATAAGAAAAAATTATCTCAAATATATGTCCAATGTGCAACCATCAGATTCCAGCTTCAATTGGCTCAGTTTCTTTTAGAAAGATGGTGGGAGACACCAAGAGGAGCAAAGGATTAGTGCCACGTACACATCGAGAAGAAGTGCCACATGACAGCGGCAGCTTTACCAATAGCACATGGCTTGCACTTAATAAAACATATCAAAATTTCATGAATTTGAAGTTCTAAACATCACCTTATCTTAAGAAACTCTCAATTTCAGAAATTTGCTTCCTGAAAGTTTCAACGATTTTTCCAAAACAAATTCTTCAATCACGGCTTTACCTAACAAATTTTGAATAACATGATCGACACACCCAAGAATAAATTGCTGCATGACTCCAATGCCTTACTTGTCACCTCTTTCGGTGTCGACGTAGATGTAGAACGATATCGGAAGAGAAAGAGAATACAGAGCGATATGGGTACTATCCAATATCTCACCTCCCTTCTCTTTATCATTTTGGCATTGCCGCACATGCCTTATTGTTTTACCTCATCTTTTTTCTTATCATCGATGTTTGGATCAATGTCGATAAAATCAATCATCGTGTCATTCTCATCGACTATAACCACCCATAGTATTATTGTTCATCATCATCATTTAAATTATCCTTTTGTTTATCATTTTTGTATCATTCATGCACGTGTTGTCGCGTATTGTATCTTCTGTTGTTAAAATCAACAACGTTAGGATAAGTGGAGTTAAATATTTTATTTTCATCATTATAAAAATTTTAATATAATTTTTTAATTTTAAAGATCGAAATATTAAAGAGGTTTAACTACTAATTAGTTATATATATAGAGCCACAATAACGCTTTAAAAGGGCTGTAGTGAGGTGTTGGCCCGTCATTGGTTGGTCAGACTTAGGTGTTGTTGGCCCGACCTCGACCTGGTCAGGATCGAGCTCGAATGTTGTTGGCCCAATCTGGCCTTTTTTAGGTGTGGGCTTGGGCCAATGCAACCCGACTGCATTCTCAAGCCTATCGGGTTCGGATTGTTATTATAGTTTGGATCCGGAAGCGATTGGCTCGACCCGGACTTGTTGGGTGTGTCATGGGTGCATCGCAAATGTAGCAATCCGAGATGTGACCACCTTATCTAAGTAGCAATGTTGTTGAGCTCGAGTCAAAATTCTTTTATTATATTTATGGCACCATTTTCCCTTCAAGCATCAAGAGACAATTAGTGTGGACACAACTAGATTTTCCATAGATGAAATAAGATGATGTGAGAATAAGTTTCAGATTGATAATTAAGGAATCAAAATAGTATAATTTTTTAGAAAATTGTCAATAACGATTACCAATTAAGACCTATAAATATTGGCTTCATTTATGTAGAAATGAGGTGCTATAAATAATTATCGATCACCCTCTAAATTATATATATATATATATATTTATATATACAATGAAGTGGACAAAAAAGACCGCTGTCTTTTCGTTCCATGAATGGTAAAAAGAAGTCAACATAACGTGGAAATAGAACAATAGTCAACCCGTTTCTTTGGCTATTTTTGGCGTTGACCCCAAAAAAATAGGGAGTGGAAACGAGACCGCTCTCCCGCTAGGATACGTGATCGATCCCAAGGCCCCGGAATAGCGCAAGCGAACCGGTAGGGGAAACCTTTCCGTGCCGACTTCTCCAAGCCTCCCCACCCACCCCCGCACGAAGAAGAAATGGTTCGATTGCGTGTGGCGGTGTTGAAATGTCGAGATTTCGATTAAGAGGAGTCGAGAGTTTTGGTCGGCAGGAGGAAGGTGAGGTTTTTTCCAAGTGATTTCTTCGTGGCATAGATTTCCTCAGAAAAAAAACGCTCGGTCGAATTGAAAGATCCGATCTTGGAGAAGGAAGGCACGGAGGAGCCATCCTACAGATAAGTAATCATATTGTTATTGTTTGAATGAATTCTGGCTCTTCCCTGAAATTTGTGTGAGAGCAGTTTGGTCTCTGGGTGCAAGATTAGGTTTTTTATTGGTCCGCAGGGAGTTTCGATCAAATATTCTATGGCAATTTGGGTTGTTAAATTACTTCCAGGAATTTTTAGGGTGTTTCCGGTTCATTAGGGAGGGAAATATGGGCTCTTTGATACTAGATTAGGATTTTCTAGATCTTATTTTGTGGAAATCCCGTTTGTCCTCGTGAAATCCCATTTTCTGCCTTCTTCAAGCATTGTCTATATATTTTGTTGCTTATTGAAATCATTGAACATAAGAAGCAAGCAACTTTGAATTTGAGAACAAGCTAGCTATTGATTGTTCTTGTGAAGAAGGTTCAGATTGTGTCTCTTTGTCCTCTAAGAGAAAAGGAGAGAGAAAATATTGAACTTGATAATTGGAAATGGGTAAGCCAAGAGGAAAGAAAAAGAAGAATTCGGGAGGTAAAAATGGCACAGAATCAAAACATCCCAGATCCAATGAGCACAACCCGAAAGTCTTCGGTGAGGGAACAACAATTTTTTTGGACATGGCACATGACATGAAAGAGGAAGGCAACAAATTATTTCAGAAAAGAGATTATGAAGGGGCTTTGCTTAAATATGAAAATGCTATTAAGCTGTTTCCCAAGAACCACGCCAACACAGCGTACCTACACAGCAACATAGCCACTTGTTATATGCAGATGGAACCAAAGCAGTACCACCGAGCAATCAAGGAATGTAATCTAGCACTTGAGGCATCACCCAAGTACAGTAAAGCCCTCTTGAAAAGGGCTAGATGCCTTGAGGCTTTGAGTAGATTGGATTTGGCATGTAAAGATGTTGATGTTGTCTTGAATTTGGAGCCTAACAACATCACAGCACTAGAGATATCTGAAAGGGTAAAGAAGGTGATGGAGAAGAAGGGCTTCGTGTTAGATGATAATGCAGATCTTTCACTAACGGAAGTTGTAGCAGTGAAAGAGAAGCTAAAGAAGAAGAAGAAGAAGAAGAAGAAGAAGAAGAGAAGCCACAAGGCTGAGGAGAAGGTGATCACAGAGGAGAAACACATTGATGTTAAGGAACAACCTATGTGGGTGGTGAAGCTAGTCTTTGCAGAGGATATAAGATGGGCCCAGATACCAGCTAACTGCAGCATGTTACGGTTAAGGGAGACCGTTGGTAGGAAATTTCCAAGCTTAAAGGCCATCCTTATCAAGTATAGGGATAGAGAGGGTGACTTGGTGACAATCACTACATCTGAAGAGCTAACGTGGGCTAGGCAATCTGCAGAACCACAGGGTTCAGTCCGACTGTATTTGACAGAAGTTAGTCCTGAGTGTGCGCCATGGTTTGAAGATGCGGAAACTAATTCTTCTTCGACAGTGCAAGGAACAAATCATAATGTTGCTGCAGAATATCATAGCATCATGAATGATGAGGAGAAGAGTTCACCATCTTACGTTGATGACTGGATTATACAATTTGCTCACTTATTCAAGAACTATTTGGGTTTCAGTTCTGATTCATATGTGAACCTTCGTGAGCTTGGTATGAAGCTCTCCTCTGAGGCAATAGAAGATACCATCACTAGTGAAGAAGCCCAGGAAATTTTTGAACTTGCTGAAGGGAATTTTCAGGACATGGCAGCACTTGCATTGTTTAATTGGGGAAATATTCATCTGTCTCGAGCAAGGAAGAAATTATTCTTGTCAGAAGATGCTTCCAAGGAATCAATACATGAAAAAATGAAAGATTCATATGAGTGGGCTCAAGATGAATATATTAAGGCTGGAAAGAGATACAAAGATGCCCTAAAAATTAAACCTGACTTCTATGAAGGTTTTCTTGCACTTGGTCTGCAACAGTTTGAGCGAGCAAAACTTTCATGGTGCCATGTTCTCGGAAGCAAGGTAGACCTAGAGGCCTGGCCTTCAGAAAAACTCATCGAGTTATACAACAATGCTGAGGATAACATGGAAAAAGGAACAAACATGTGGGAAAAAATGGAGGAGCAACGGATAAAGGAACTCTCTGAACTCAAAGATGATAAAAGCCTCTTGGAGAAGATGGGTTTAGATGGTTTTTTTAAGGATCTGTCTATGGATGAAACAGCAGAACAGGCTGCTAACATGAGGTCTCAGATAAACAGAATATGGGGCACTATTCTCTATGAACGGTCTGTTATGGAATTTAAATTAGGTATTCCCATTTGGGAAGAGTTCCTTGTGGCAGCTGTTGAAAAATTTAAACTAGCCGGAGTTTCCCCTGTCGACATTGCTGTTATAACAAAAAACCACTGTGCGAATAGAACTTCCCAAGAAGGTAAGTATTTCTAATCAAGATCATGCGTCAAATTAATTTTTTCCTTGTCAAGGATGATGGAACATATTTTAGACACTTTAATTCTGCGGGTGCAAATTTTAAAAGGTTTTCTCCATACTTAAAAACGGATCTCCAGTTCATTTATGTGATATGATATGTTGCTTTTGTGCATTCAAATTTATGAAACACATTTTTCCTTATTATTTTATGCTTCTTTGATTTTTGCAAAATTAATAGGTAAAGGTTTAAGTGCCACAGTACAAGTAAAACTTTGCAATAGCGATGACACATTGGATTCATAGACAACCAGTCTCATGATCTTATACTTAGTTTTGTACTGAGAAATAAAAATGCAATTTAACCTCACAATATTGCAGTGTTAGGCATTGACAACCACTCAACTGAAACTACTACAGTAACAAGGATCTTCACCTAATGTTTTGTGCTAATTCACACACATATGGTATATGCATGGAGGTCCAAACATCTCACAAGTCCTTGGATAGCTTTGGAAGTGTTGCTTAAGATGTCTCAACTTGTGACCTTGGCACCTCATTATCTTCTTGTCAGATCCATTTAAGCTGCTACATTAATGGACCTTGGCATCTAGATGCCTCATTAACATCTTCTCATTCTCCATTCATCCCAAAATGACCTTTAAGCACTTACAATTTACAAGCGCCTACTAGAAACCCTGGAATCTGCTTTCAGCAGTGCTGGTTAAATTGCTAAGTTCCTTTCCTTTATTACAGGGTCAACCTTTATGATTGAGGAGATAGTGCAAGCCTGGCATGAAACTCATGATGATAAAAGGTGGATGATTGGTGTCCCATCTTTTCGGCTTGAGCAGTTGTTTCGCCGGAGGGTTTGAAATTTGAAAGTTGCATCATATTTTAGAAACTTTATGATATATTGTTACCACCAGCAGTCAGAAACAATGAGCACTGATGAGAACAGTGGAACATATTTTAGGTGTCTGTTGTCAGAGGTGAACATAGGTAATCCTTTGGCTTTGTCTTGATATTTAATATTGCTAAGTTCACATGTCTATTTTATCTTTATAAATTGTTACCTTAGTGTATAATCTGCTGTTGCAGTGTACTCTTCTGAGGGTATCTGCTCTCCACCTTCTAGAAGAGTTGATCTTATTCTTTACTTAAATTTTTATGTTACCACCGTACAAAATAACTTACATCTTGAGAATTCTTATTTGTCTTGTATCATGTCATTTGTTGAAAAATTACATTTCATGCTGGGGAAACCAATAAAATCTTAAGGGAATGAACTTAACGTGTTAATGCTGTAAGAGCTTATAAAGATGTTTGATATACTATATTGCTTTTCTAATTTAGTGACATCATAATTTTGTAAAATAATAAAATGAAGCACAGTTTATAGAATGATCAGGGTGGTCCTTTTGGTAGTACAACCTTGGAGAGATTAACTGCTTGGAGTTCAACGTTCTCAAGTAATTCCACCTTCTAAGTAGACTACAACTGTAGAAATGAATGATGATGCCCTTAGCAGGTAGATGGGGGAATACGGTATTTTCATCGACCAGTATTTAGAGAGAGAACAATGTCTAAAGTGAAAATGCCACATCAAATTCGGATCCTAATGGCCGGTCTTATCTTTTAATCAGTTATGTTCATACAAAACAATTGGTTTTCCAGCATTTCTGAATTATTGACTTTTACCAACTTAATAAGTGTAATATATTTTAGCAATTTTATATGGGATTAATGGTAGCTATTATGCATGTTTTATGATGGCCAACGAACATTTGTAAGTTTTTATTCTCTAAATTATCGATCTTATGCTTTTCAGTTGTGGTAGAGACTCTCATTCTTGTGAGCCTTCTGCCATATGCAAACATAACACTGTGGTTCTTATATTGACTAGGCAGTTAAATGGCCCTTGAAAAGCATATTGTCTGTTCCATAAAGAATTAAGAAACCAAACAACCTATGTGTAGCTTCTTCATGAATGGATACTGGTGATGCCCATTATGGTTGCATAAGCTAGTGTTTCCAGGAATCTGGAAATATGAATCAGATCTTTCCATCGAGGGTCATATGAAGCCATCTAATTAGGCAATTTTGTGAGGCCTCCAACTACTTCATCTCACAAATATATATCCACGGCTTTGCCAAAAAATTAACCTTGAAATATTGACAGATGAATGAAGACTATTGTTGTTCTTATTAAACTCTATTAGTTCCATACATAGTTGACCACAACTCTACAAGAATCAGTTTTATTGCTTTAAGATAGTTCTAGTCATAATGCTGCTTTATTTTTCATTTATTCGGGACAATGCATTAGAAAAATATTAGTTATTATAGTTTTACTAATTGTGTTAATATAACTTTCTTTCTCATGTTTAATGCAACTGATATCATCCACTCATCTTCTGGGGTAGCCTGGGCCATGGGGCAGTAAGAAAAATATTAGTTATTATAGTTTTATTAATTGTGTTGATATCACTTCCGTTCTCATGTTTAATGTAACTGATATCATCCACTCATCTTCTGGGGTAGCCTGGTCATGGGGCAGTAAGAAAACATTCAAAGAGAAATGAGTAGAATCTGCACTTGTAGCGTCATTTGCTCTAAATGATGGAACACAGATGAAAGTTTAATTTTGGGTGAACATTACTTATGTATCATTTACATATTTAGCCATGGATGATGTAGATGCACTTATAAGCCATCTATTGCTGTAGAATGGCTTTTAACATCTGTTAGTGCTTTAATTGACATGGTTGTTCCCAAAGTGACATGAATACCAGCATAATTGCTTCAAATGCATTAGAATGAGTATGTGTACCTAGTGATTGCCCTACAAAATGCACATCTACTTAACTATCCAATGGGCAGTGCAATGGTCCTTGTTGCATCATGAATTATTTTCTCTTTCTATTTTGCTATATATGGAATTATTAGAAAGAGTTTTTTAGTATTCTTGCTTAAATATGTGGTGTGTGTTTTTTTCACATTTGTCTCTCATTAACAAGAAACCATTGCTGTCCCTACAGGTCTTCTGCAGCATGGCTGGTTCAATCCTAGTTCTTTCTCTTTCTTTTTTTGTGGAGATCATCATTTGCATTCAACTGGATGAATTATATGACCTGTTTGATGCTGGTTGGTCATAAAAAAACTATGCCCTTGATTGTGTTTGAGCTAGCATTAATTCTTTGAATAGGTTTCAGAAGGTTTTCTTTTTGCCTTCCCAGAACATACAAATACATGGTAGAGTTTGTTGTGTCAGTGAAAGATTGTGATTTGAACCCATCAAACTGTGATATGGTCATTTGTCACTGCTTCATATCCATCCTTCACAAGTTTGTCACTGATCCAGATCAGCATATACCGAACTATATTTATCGGTCTGATCAATTATTTCGGACGATTTGATCCGATTCCCTTAAATTTTTCAATGTATTATGTGTTGGTATATCAATAAAAATCGTACTGTACAGTACAGAATCTTTGTACAAAGAAAATTCAGAACATTTTAGTATACAGTGGAGAATCTTTGTGATGTTGATTCTTCTCTTTGTCATGAACAGTGTGTGGAAGCCACAACCCAACTCAAATCTGTGATGTTGGTCGATGAGGCATATTGCCGGTCCATATCCGGATCAGATTTTCGGGTCGGACGATGCCAAATCCGATCCGATAGCAAGCGTTAGGTCGGGTCCACCGCTGCCCTTTCCACTATTGTCTTTTGGGAAGCCCGCGAAATCCCCCGCCGCTAGCTTTTCTCTTCGACGGGAGTCGCGAGATTCTTGTGCATCGCCTTCGCCTCACTTCGTTCGATAATCTCTTTCACAGCTCCGTCTCGACCGACCAAATCTTCACGAATCCCGGTCGGTATTCTTTTCTCTACCCGCTGCTCTTCACGAATCTTCCTTTGCTTCTCCGATGTGCAAGCGTTGTCAGTCGTTTACGGCCTCCGCCCTCCTTTCGTTTGGATTGCTGGTTCTAAGTTCAGATCTAATTTATGCACCGCAAGATGACATTAGTAACACGCCTTCTGAGATTTACCTGTAAACTGTATATTTCTGGTTTGTTTCTCTTTCATAGGTTAATTGAAAGATCAAATCATTGACGAGACTTTTCATGGTAACGTTATGTCGAATTTAGTGAATGGTAGCTTATTGCTCTGTCTCCTATCTAGAGTCGCCTAATTTACATCACAAAAGTTGTTTCTCGGAGTAAACTTGTGAAGGCTTCTCTTTTGTCTCAAGTTTGGTGTTGAGGTATCAGAAGCTTCAGTTCACCTAAGAATTTGTATTTTGATATGTCAAGTAGCCAGTCTTGTATCTTATGGAGGCACCTTTTGGGCGTGTCATCCAGGGGTGACCTTGAGATGTTAATGATGCAACTTTCTTGTTGATGTCATTTGGTTCAACTAATTCAAGTACGTTAGCATTTATGTGTTCCGCCTACTAGAAAATCACTATATGATTATGAAGCTTAAAGGAACTCAGGACAAAGGCCTTTTGTATGATGTTATGATCACCAAGCACAACCACGGAAGAGGACATTTTTCTAACATTACACCCTTTGAAGAGACGCGTAGTCATGAAAGACATGGACATCTTTCATGAATTCTTCTTTCTTAGCTCATCAACCTTAGGACATTGTTTTTGAGTTTAGATTCTAGGAGATTTAACTTTGCCTTTAATTGATAGATGGTACTTGATAGATACAATTATCTTGTCTGTGTGTCTTCTATATTACTGAGAATCCACATATGTTAGAAATTGTTTCTGTGGAGGGTGTGTATGTATAAGAAAAAGATCAAATGAAAATTAGCCAGAGCTCTCTAAGCTCATAATAGGCAGAATTGGGAGTCCATGCCATTTATTCGCTTTCCTGCTGCTCTCTAAGCTCATGAAAAAGACTCGGTCTTACTGCAGCTTTTCTGTGAAATTTGGTCGACATGCTTGAACTTTTGATTGAAAATACATGCCTTTTGGCTGTTAGTTTCATGTTGATTGTTATAATTCTAGATAGTTGTATTGAAAGATACTTAAATTTAGTTGCTTTAGTTGCCTAAAGATACTCCCAAGAGACTCTGAGATGTGATTGTAAGAGGCACTTTGGTGTTTCAGCTATCTAAAATGTCAAGTTCTTAAACTAGTCATGTTTCATTATCATGGTTATGATCGTGCTCCTCTTTTCAATCTTTACTGAATTATATCCAAACCAGTCAGTTAATTATAACTTACATGCATACATTTGCTGTAAACATTATTTTTTGAAAAAAAAATTACCACCATTGTTTGAGATAGAAATATCAGCTAAAACTATTATGTATTCACGAACTCTTTTGAAACATAGACATGATTTCTTTCATAAATATACTTAGCAATGTACAGTATGTTTCCAATACATGACAAATTGTATATTCATATTTATGGTGAGTACTAGAGGCGAGCCTTGGTGTCGCAGAAAGGTTGCTTTAATGCAATCTAGATGACTCGCTTTTGAGTTGTTAAAATAGCATCTTCTCTTGTGGGGGAGTAAGACTGTATGCATTGATCCTCTGTAGGCCCTCTATTGGAGAGAGATTTATGCACTGAGCCAGTCTATTTTAATCCACTATAGATAAAGGATTTTGAACGAAGAATAGGTACCGTTCTTAGTTTATTGATTTATCCTTCATCTTTTGTCCACAGGAGATTTGATTGGAGTTCTCATGATCCAAATTACAAGGTTGAGTTCCACCTAAAACATTCTCCTTTTTATTCAGTGAACATGTTACATTGTCTAAAGCGTTATCTTGTGCATTTTCTGTAGAGTTACCATCTCAGAAACACAGTTTCCTTTCATAAAATTCTTGTTATTAAAAAAGAATATAAATGATTGTAGTCAACTTAGGTTTCTGGTGCTTGCTTGTTTTTTAATAGCAACATTGGATAATATAAAGTTGTAGTCCAATGCTTCCGTAGAATTTTCAGTAATTCATTGATTTTTTATTCACTTATAAACTGTTTCTTTATGTAAATAATATGAGGATTTTAAGATGGATGATTGGTGTAACAAAGAAAGAGAATGGTTTCATCTGTAGTTACTTAGAGATTGTCCAGGGGATCATGAGGGAAAATTAGAGTGCTTAGGATTTGTCTTGATGAAGTTTGTTGTTAAATTATGGGCTTCAGGAGACAGAAGGAGCTTAAACTGGTCAGAAATAGTGAGATAAGTATGCAACCATAGATATATTGGGAAACCTTTACGTCGTGGCCAAGGTGTCAGCACGGCTTGGTCCGGATGCACAAAGTTGCCCACGTGGATGCTCGGATGGTGGAAGTGTGCGTCGGGTCAGGTTGGGTTCGAGCCTCGTTTCCTCGGGTTCACCTTCTCCCCTGGCAGGTTGCCTGCTTCTTCGTCGCCAAGCTCTTGCACACAGGCCGAAGTCATAAGGGGGATTTTCCTTATTCGACCCCTCCGAAGTTTAAGTTAGTATTGAGTGGAGTAAGAGGGAGTTGAATGCTCCAAAAATCCTCCCCTGACGTTGGTGTTGGCTTTTATACTTGCGAAACGAGGGTCGGTCGTACATGGTCCGTTAATGGTTGCTGACTCCTTGGGCGGTTGGCTTGTACCTTGCGGATGAGCGTCGACTGACCTATACGGACCCGCGTCGTGTGGCATCATTCCGAGCTTTCCGGAACGGCTCTGCGGTATACGACGTCGACTTGTATGGCGTCGAACAGTATGATGGCAAGTGGTCGCCTCGTTCGGGTCTGAAGTCTCGCGTTGTGCCAGCCTGGAGCTCCTTTATTGGCACTATCGTGGTTGCCGATCGTTGCCACGTGGATGGTGCTGAAATATGCCATATCATTCCTCCCCCCACCCTAAAGGGGCATGCGTTGGGTTCCTCGGGGAGGGGCTCAGGGCATGTCTTGGTGCCTCTCGTTGGTTGGGTCGATCGTCGTGCTGGGATTAGTGGTTTGGTCATTGGTTGGCCGACGACTTCCACTCGGGGTTGAACTGGTTGAGGAACATCACTTGGGGGCGGGGTCGACCGATCAGCATAACTCGGATATAAGATTGGCTAAATGATATTGTTCGAACACTCAGGTGGCTGAGGGGCGTTGCTCGGGTGTGGACCTGTCCGAGCAACACTACTTGGGCCCATGTTTGGCCGAGTAGCTGCTCGGACAATGATTGGACCAAGCAACGATTGATCGTATATGACTGACCGAGCAACACTGCTCGGGCATTGGGGATTGCTCTAGCCGAGCAACGTAGCTCGGGCATTGGCTTGGACGAGCAACACTACTCGGGCCCATGTTTGGCCGAGCAGCTACTCGGACAATGATTGAACCTGACAACGATTGATTGCGTATAACCGGCTGAGCAACGCCACTCAGGCACTATGGACTGGCTTATCCAAGCAGCGACTGTCTGTTCATGACTGGCCGAGCAACACCGCTCGGACACTGGGGACTGGCCTAGTCGAGCAACGTAGCTCGGCCACTGGCTTGGCCGAGCAAC